GTTATTACCTTTCTTTTCCAGAGTTTCGGAGAAGTTTTGTTGGTGTAAACCTTAGAAAGTGATATTTGTGTTTGACAGTAAATATGGCTTCATCTTCTATCAATACTACTTTTTTAGTTCATACATGGTTAAGTTGATTGACCTCTTTGCATTTCTATACCTAAACCTCTGGTAAAAGAGATAAGAGTACATTTTCATGGTTCTCCCTTGAGGCCCACTTACATGCCTTTATTCCAACAGCTAATCTGTGACTTTTGTGTGTCTGAGTATTAGTTAATGTTATTGATTTTCATGTCAATTTATTCCAACAGCTAATCTTTTTTGTTTAGTCTACTAATTTATATGCATCTACTGATCTCTTTTTGTAGTTTACACGCATGGGTTACTCCAAGGAACAAGTTGTTAGTGCTTTCACTGATGTTTCTAGAAGCCACGCAGATAAGGATGTTTCATCATTGTGGCCAGCTGTTTTATGTCAACTTAGAGAGGGGCAAGTCTATGGTTTACAGCCAGAATCTCAAACCATGGGAGATGATTTCCGCATGACAAGTTCTATTTCTGTATCAAGTGGTATCTCTTTCCCCCCTTTTCAGTCTGTTCATCAGTGAGATCAATAAACATTTTAGCTCAGTGAACCACTTTATAATGTCCAGGTTCAATAGATCTCACTGGAAATGAGAGCAGACCTGTCAGTGCATCTTGTGGGAATATGCCGAACTTTGGTTCTCCAGATACATCTTTTTCCTTGAGGGCTTGTTCATCATCTGTACGGTTTTATCTGTTTCATGAAATGGATCTAGTTCCTTTCTTATAAATATACAGTCGCAATCCTTAATTTGATGGAATTTTAGGGATCTAACAAGCAGTATTCTTTTTTAGTGTATTAGTTTGAAACTTCTTCAATGTTGCATTCATGTTTAAATTTCACTGGATAAATGTCTCCACATTTCAACATTGCATTGATTGCATTCACAATTATTATCAATAACTGCATTTTTGCTTTCAATTTTCTTGTCAATCTTGCAATGGTTTGCAAAACTTTAAGGACTTTTCGTATCAGTGTACATGTTTTTTCACTCGAAGTTTATAATTTTTGGAATTATTTTTGAAGTGGTTGCTTGCCCTTCTGAAAATCTTAGGATGATGCCATGCCAAAATCAATCAGTAAGGAGCCTAAATCAATGGTGAACAGTTTAAGTTTACCACCACTGAGCTTGGGGGAGAGATTTGAAGATGCATATGAAGTGATTTTAATACTGGATGATCGGGAGCAATTTGCCACTCAGGGGTTAGTAACGAGTTTTTAAATATACTATTTTCTTTGTTTCTGTCTAAGTTCAAATTATTTGAGGATAAGGTATGCATTTTCCTTTATTCTGTATTTTCCCTTTGGATGCTAGTATTACTGTTATGTGACTTTTTCCTTCTTTTAACCTTTATGATATTTACATGAAGTCATCTTTTAACTGTGCATGAATAATTTTCCTTGTCTAATGATCTAATGAATTTGATAAACTTTATTACTTCATTATTTTCAGATCACGATCCAGGAGAATTATTGACAATATTCGCAGTCAATTCAAAATCCAAATAGATGTGAGTTTTGATGATTCTGCTCTACGCAGGCAGTTCCCTTTGAATTTTTTATAAGAAGCACCACATGTACTATTTTATTCTTAGACCTATTAATTTTGCATTTTGGAAGCCTGATGTCGGCCAATAACTAGTAAAATGTATCTGAACTTCCCTTCTATCTAAATCCATACATTTGTTTGTGTTTTCTAAAGGAACTGTCAAATTTGAGCTTGTTAACAATATTGTAGAACGTATACCAGTTGATGTTAGTTTTACTTGGAAGGAACTCTTGTTAAAATATAGCATTTCTCTGTTCTGAATTTGGTAACAGTGGTTGCCTTATTGGTTTATCCCCAGGTTCGGAGATTGCCCGTTGGAGATGGAATTTGGATAGCTCATCATAAAACCCTTGACAGTGAATATGTGCTGGATTTTATTGTTGAGAGGAAGAACATTGATGATTTGCGTTCTTCAATCAGGGATAACCGCTATAAGGATCAAAAATTAAGACTTTTGGTACATTATCCTTCTTGGAGATCAGAACTGTTTTCTTTTTTTTTTTTTTATGAAAAATTGTTTGCACGTATGGAGGATAGATGTATATGTTATCTGGTTATAATGATGAAACTCAGCTTTATGTGAATTCAAATTAAGAGAAATTTGCTAGAGTACAGGTTTAAGCATATGAACTGGAAAGAAAATGATGGAAAACACAATAAGCTAGCAATTGGGAGGCCAATCTCTTCCATTCAAACAAAGTTTTTTATTGGTTGACCAGGCATGGGCTTGATATTGTTATTTTCTGTCTTGGAATCTTATTTCGATGTTTAGGCAATTTGTTTTTCCGACTTAAAAAGCCTAAATCCTAATAGGAGGAGGTGACTTCAATTTGCATGTTTATTGCTTGGTCATATCATATTATAACTAGCTGGATAGTAGTTACAGAATAGAAGGTTAACATGCAAATTATAATCCGTTAAGCTGCTCTATATCCTCATGATCATAATATAAGTTGTAAGCTTAGCATAACGATGTCTTACCCCTTTGAACTGCTTATTGAAAGAGGTGTGGACTGAAGAAGTTGATATATCTTGTGGAAGGTGACCCGAATTCCTCTGAAGCTGCTGAAAGCATAAAAACTGCGTATGCACCATTCCTCTATCTCTTCCCCCCCCCCCCTTGTTTTGAATTCTTAGTTGATTCATGTTGTGCAGTTCATATGTTGGGTTGAATCCATTTGATTATCAACATTAAACGTCAAAACTGCTTTTTTTTTTTTTTTTGAGTCCATTTGCAGTTCATTATTATTTTTAATTAAAACTGACCATATTTGTTAAAACTTCTTCTATGACAATCACAATGAATAAAACTGGTAGAAGAATTGTGCTGTGTTATGATTGAGTGGTGTTCATTCACTATTTGAAATTGTATAGCAGTTGCAATATGGTCTTAACAACTGTCATTATGGTTAATTCTTCATAATTGGCTATATCCTTAGGTAGGCATTTCTTGTAATTTTTTTATTGAAAACATTCAAGTAATTTCATCATTGGTAATGGGAAAAAATGGTTCTGGACATGATTTTGATTGGTGTGAGTGAAAAACAGTTTGTTATAGAAGTTTCTTTAAATTGAAACATGCTCAGTTATTTGGTAAAAGTACTTATGTTCAGTTGGAATATTGATTTAAATTCTTAATATCAACTTCAATATGTTCATTGAATCTAATTTGCATGAGGCTTTTGTATGTGCATGTAAGAATAATTTCAGCTGCTAATCTGGTTTAATAATGATTAATGTAGTGCATTTGTTGAGTTTTTATCGAATATATATTTACATGTTCCAATAAACTTTCTGCTCCACTGTCTACACAATATCCTTACGAAAAACTTTTTGGGTATCATTTTGTACAGCTGTTTTACAACAGAAATTTTGGAGGGTTTTGATGTGCAGAGAACAAGTGGTTTGGCTGATACACTAAAGAAGTATGGTTATCTTACCCAAGCAATTTCTCAATATTACAAGACAATGGTTCTGCACGACCATGTTAAGTGCTCTGGAACATGCCCTCCTTTTGATGAATTTATTAGAAGGTGCCAAGATCTTGACAAAATGACAGTCAGTGATGTATTTGCTGTCCAGCTTATGCAGGTATTCTCTTTTGCAAGATTAAGAGGGAATGGTGTTTCCTTGTGGTTTTTTGTTTAATTCAGCAGTGTTGACTATGAATATCCTTCTTTACAACACTTTTTACAGCTCCACTATGAATGATATAGCTTTCACCTCTTGTATCCAAATAATATTCAGAAACATTGGCCTCCTATCAGTTTTGGCTTTTGTTTACTCCTGGTTTCTTAATACACTAATATAGTTATTGGCAACAAACTGATAATATTAGATATATTATCCCAGCTCTACTGGCTGGTTGCCATTTGATATTTCTACCTTTATTTTATTTGCATGGTTTTGTCTTCTCAAAGTCTTTTGTATATAGAACTGCATTCCCTCGTAACTTGTGTTAGAGCCTTCACTTTCATTGTAAGCTTGAGTCACTGATTGTTGACATGGCATCATAGTCTCCATGACTAAATGGTTTATAGTTTGATGCACTGCATCCTATTCTTCATGATTCAATATAATTTCAGCACAAGCTAGGCGAATGTCTGCAGTTCATTCCAAAAGGTTTTTTTCTATGAGAAGGCACTCATTGGAGATTAAAATAGAACTACTTATTGACTTTGATTTAATAGTTTGAGCTATTGAGTTGAAATGGTTATTGACAAATTTAATGAATGAATATGGTACCAAACACACAACTTGTAGTTCAGTTTGATGGTGGTGATTTAGACTGCTGAAAATGCAGGTCCCTCAGGTTACAGAGGAGGTTGCCCTGGCTGTGCTCGATTTGTACCCCACGCTTCTCTCTCTTGCCAATGCCTACTCTCTTCTTGTGAGCCTATTCTTTCCTTTAAGCATCCAATATTTAAATCAGTTGGTTAATATGTTTGGAATAATATGCTTTCTGAGAACTTCATGATATTGAACTAGATTTGAGAGGCAACTTAAGCTGGTTGGTCCTACGTCAGTGCTAGGTGTTCTAACTAGCTATTTAGTCATTGTTATTTTGATGAAATTTTACGCAAGAACTAAGAAGCATGACATGATACCAACGCTACAACACCACAAAATATAGAGTTTCAATATAATTTCAAGTGCGGTGTTATGCTTCTTGTTAGTGTTTGACCATTATTGAATACGATATGATATGGTGTTGCAGTATCAGTGATTCCTAGCGCATTTTTTACACTTCAATTAATAAACCTTGGGATGCTTAGTCGTCAAAACTTAGCTGACTTGTTGCTTATCTCCAATTTTGACTCATTCTTGGTATCTTCTATTAGGATGGGGATGTTTGTGCACAAGAGGACATGCTAAGAAAACAGAGTGATAACATGATCAATGCAGTTGCCAGTAGGAACATTTTCCAGTTAGTTTGGGGTAGCTGACCGTTGCATATTCTACTCATGCAGTTCTGGTTTTGGGATGTTGAACCCATATAAAGGTAATTGCCAGCATTCTTTGTTGCCAAGAAGTAATCCGTATATTTTGTTAAGGAAATGTCCTGAATTTACTTTCATTTTGCTTATCGTTTGATCCGGCTCGCAAGGTTTAAGTGGGAGAATTTGATGACAATTGGTATCTGATTAACACATGCAGGCTAAAAATTTGGTCAAAGCTATTATGATCTGTACATAAGCTTTTGGAAAATGCTCTTTTGTTCTTTGTATATTGTACATTATTGAAGTATATTTATGTTTGTCGGCATAAAAAAGATCTAAACTATGATTCTTGTGATCTGCATTTGAGCTTAGAGGTGATGTTTGCTTGGCTCTTTCAGGAAATCTGTCCTTGAATATTTGTAAGGGAAATGTTAAAACTCCTTTCATTTTTTTTTTTGTGGTATAAAAAGGTTTTGATGAGTTGGATCCGGAGTCCACTAGTCAAAACATGTTTTTAAATTTAAAGAATACTTATAGAAATACTTGTATATAGCATTGTTTGCTAATATGGTCCTTACAGTGGTAATGAGATTTGATTTCATAACTTTTGGCTTATAGATCAAATCATTATCAGGTGGACTAACTTTGTTGGCAAAACTCTGTTCATTTTGAAGTGTTATAAAGCTGATTCTTAAGTAGATTCAATTTTTAAAAAAATATATGTAAATTGTAACTTGCCATCTAAATTCACGATACTATCTATATAAGTTGCTTGAAAAAAAAATTGGATTAGGAACACATACTATCATACATTGATGGGGGTGAAAGATCCCAAATACTATGGAAGAGGATTTGGAGTTTGATTGATTTCATCCCACCTTGGTATTTCCTTTTTCAACTTTGGATTTTAATATTTAAAGTTTTCTTCATAGTGAATTCTCTTCCTATAAACATGTCATTTTGTCCTTCATCAACGATATTATCAGGGAAGGATGATTCCTAAGTTTTAAAATATTGAATTTTATTATGTTCTCACAAAATTTTCTAAAAAATAAATTTAAAATATCGATTCAGATAATTATAAATTTAAGAGTTTTAGTTGTAGATAAAACATCTAAGATTCTAACTTGATTTTTAGTTTGTAACTAAGATTTTTGTTTGTAGCTTTGTAAATTAATATTTATAATTTATTTTCTTAAAAAAATTATTGAAAATGTAATTGTCATTAATTTAATTTTTTGAGCTTGTCTATCATTCTTATTGTGCTATGACATTTGTCTTAATTTGTTCTTATTTTTTGTCCCATCTAGAGCTAGTAATTCGAGCATGTTGGGCTTATTTAGGTTAAACTTAAAATGCTTGAATATATATAAAATCTCATTAGTTAAGCTTAGTCCTAACAATTTGAGTTATTTGAGTTGCCTTGAATGTTTAAATTGTTAAATATTATATTATTTTTTTGAGTTAATTTTAATTTTTATCTTAAATAATAAAAATTTCAAGCAGCATATCATTATAGCATATATCATTACAATGCACCTTTTTATCCTTATTAAAATGAGATCAAGTATTGAAAGATTAAAAATAAAAACATATGAAGTAATCTTTTTTATCTATTTTCCTTATATTTCAAAAATATTCAAAATAACGGTTATTAGAACATTAAAACTTTATATAAAAGTGTGAAATGTGCATATTGGGAATTTGGGAGAGGGTTTATGAGTATTATAAGTGAAGGTTGAAGTGAAAATTAATTTCATTATTATGAATTCTCAAATTTCTTTGGATTTAATTGAACAACTTGAATAAATCTGAAGTAAAACAAAATCTTCTAAATTTTTGAAGTTGATCTTAAGATTTTTTGGACTTATCCGGTCGAGCTTGATGCCAATTACTAGCTCTCGTCCCACCCCATGGGATTTGAATTTAGGAAAAGCAAATTTATTTATTAAGAATTAATCCTAGTCACCCATTTATAGCTTATAGGAATTAATGCAATAGGTATTTTTCATAAGTATCTATTCTTGAACTTTTAGTCATGAAATTTGTCATAATTATCAATTCAAGAACTTCGACTTAGAAAACTTCAATTCTTATAATTTATTAAGATAAAGTATTATAGATATTAAGTTGTTTTGAGTAAAAAAATGGAACTAATTTGTTTTGAGTTAATAATTACAGAAATGGAATTTTTTTGAGTCAAAGTTTAATAGTTAAATTAATAATTATAAAAAAGTTTAGGGATCACAAGTTATATTTTTTATAATATGACCAAAAAAATTAATAGAACGATTTTCTATATGAACTAAACCTAAATTAAAATGAACATTATACCAACTACACATATAAAATCAAATTAGTTTCATTCTTTGAAATTTTGACTTATTTTTACTTTTTAGGGTGTAACTTACCAAAACTTCGAATGCTCCAAAGTGTTAAATGTATAGGTTTGGCCAATTGAGAAGTAAAACATAGTAGGACATATTTAATTTATTTCATATTTGTCCAAAAACTTTAAATAGCACTATTTTTAGACCTGGACAATTGGACTGGTTGAATCATCGCTTGGAAAAGAAAATAGTTTAGTTCAATCATTTGGCTTATTCTGACGGTTGACATGAGTTGGCTTGCTTTGACTTGAATAGTTCTCGAAAATTCAAAATAAAAACCTAAGATCCAAAATGGTTGAATTGATTTGACTCCTTTTTAATATATATATATATATATATATTATTTTTTATTTAATTATTATGTTATCGGTGCCAATAGATTAAACCATGAGACCCATAATTTACTAACATTTTCAGTTCACTATTCAGTCTAGTTTTTAAAACATTCCTAAATAATAGGCTATTGGTTCTGTTTGGATAAGGAGAAAATCCAATAGAAAGTTACAAGTGATTTGTGAGGCAAGCAAATTCCATTTCTTTGCTTTGTTTGGACCGATCTCTAAGGCCATGAGAATAAGCTTCCTTTCAAAAGCAAAGACCACAGTTTTGGAAATATTCGTGTAGGCTTCGTTCAATGTTTTGTATTATTATCATTCATGTTTTTATAATTCTGAATTGTGATTGAATTGGATATTAAGTTTTAGGACCAAATGACAAAACATGAATCGACAACATTGAATTGTGTGTCTAGCAATACTAAATTAGTAATAATTTTCTGGAGCAAATGGCATTGGATCACGACGTTATGTTTTTAGTCTCATTCGTTACTCAGTGACGATTAACAACGTGGGATCATGTCCTATTTGGATAACATGTTTTCTCTTCATTTGATTCTCTCACCTTTTGGTTTTTCAGGGTTTCGTTGTTTGTTTTAATAAAAAATTCTCGTCATTGAGATCTCTGTGTGTGGCATCTTGGCATGGGGCACTTGTGAACTCACAAAAATGGTTAAGTTATTTAAATATAAGTAGGGTTGAGTTAATATAAGAAGTCTCATGTCAAACGAAGTTAAGTTTTTAATGACTAATATATAATAATAAGAAAAATTCATAAATTTGAGTTTTAAAATTTTGAGTTAAAATATAATATTTTTCTATAACTATTAGTGTCAGAGTCTAATTTCATTTGATACCTGAAAATCTATGTTGCACACATGTTTGAGTCTCAGAATAGAACTAGCCTTAGGGGGAGATTGTTAGGTTATATGAAAAGCTTATGGATTCACACTTGAAGAAAAAATTATTAGACTGTTATAAGTGTAGGTGAATTTAAATTAATATAAAAAATCTCATATCAAATAAAATTAAGTTTAATAATTAATATATAAAAAAATAACATATAAACTTAAATTTTAAAATTTTGAGTTAAGATGTGATACTCTTTTACTATTTTTTGCCCATTTCTACTCTCTTCTCATTTTTTGAGTATTCCATCCCCAGCAAAATGTTTATTGTTTTATGTTATTATTATTCTCTTTATTATAAAATCATTTTAGGGTATGTTTTGTTTGGGGGAGGAGAGGGATTTCACTCCCCTACCCTTGTTTGGTTTGTAAAAATAGAGGGGAGCTCCAAAATGGAGAGATGAGAAGGGGATAGGTATAATTTTATTGTATTGAGCTAATATACTCCTTATATAGTATGATAATCCAAAAATGCTCCTATCTCTTTGCTATCATGTGTCCCTCTGTTCAAACTATGTTTCTTCTCTTAACTTGCATTGTCATCTTTGTTTCCCTCTTATTTTATTTTTGCTATTCTTCTTCTTCTTTTTTTTTTTTATCATGTTTTGTTATTCTTTTATTTTATATTAATAAACTTACTGCTTGCTCGTATCTTTAGTTTATAAACTTTGAATAAATTATTATTAAATATATTATTGGCAATATATATATATATATATATGAACTGTCTTATAATTATATATTAAAAATATTCATAACTAGTTTTATTAGAAAAAAATAATTTTAATTATATAAGTGTAAAGTTGTCTATATATATTCATTTTCCCTCCCTTCCTGAACTAAATAAGGTATCATCCCTCTTTTCTATTAAAAAACCACTTACTACCTTTTCTTTCTTAAAATCTCTCTCATCCTCTCAAACCAAATGGACTTTATATCTTTTATTGACAGTACAGATGAATTAAATGAAAATATATGATTTTGATCAAAAAGAGAAAACGAGATGGAAATTAAACCTTCAAATTATATTTATGAGTCAAATCTGTGGCCCAAAAGGAAAATTACGAGTCAAATGGGATATTATCTTGATTCAAAATTGATGTAAGGTTCAAATTGAATTATAATCCCGGTCTAGCCCAATTTGACCCGCATTATTGCAGGGGCAGACTGAGCCAAAATGGCAACGGCTTGAGTCCTTTTTATTTTATTTATTTTCTTATTTTTTAAATTAATTTTTTATATTAACTATACTAGGTTTAATCAAACTTATTTGGACTGGACCAAATTTATTCGCCACACTAATTTAATTTTGACTTTCACAAAAATTTATTTGTCAAAAATCTATTTGCTAACACTTAATTTTTCAAAATTCATTTATGTTTAGATATGGCTTTTTGAAAAGCCAGTTTGGTAAAGTAAAATATGTTTGGATAATATGAGAATCAATTAAAATTAGCTCCAATCCATATTTCAAAAGTTAAAACTTACCCAAAATTGTGTTTGTGGAATAGACTTTTAGGTCAGTACAATAAATATCTAAATAACATTTGTGTTCAGATTGTGTGTCAAAAATGTTTTTCAAATGAAAATGATTGAAATCAAACACAGCCTTAAGGCAAACTTGGTCATCGCAATATTCACAAGTACTATGTGAGTGTCTTGTAGGATGATTGTAATTAAGCAGAATATTAATCGGTTCATAATTCAAAAATAGAGCCAAAAACAATGTTTGAAACTTCAAGTTCACGTGTAAGAATGACCATTTACGAACAACTACCTTTGTCTGTTTCCCCCTTTATTTGAGGACAAGTCTCCAAGTGCTGGCTTTTCTAATAAATTAAATTCTTGTCTTGGAGGCATTTCCTAGGACTTTTCCTTGCCTATCTTTATCAATATTTTCCACATAGCATTTCATTTTATAAGATGTTTTTAAGGTAAAATTATGAATACTAAGAATTAATTTAATACAATTTGGAATTTTATTTTTTTATAAATAAATGCAATTTTCTTAAAAATACCTTCATTTAATGAAACTATAAACCTACAATTATTAAAAACTTCATTAATGAAGAATAATTTTGAAATAATATTCATTAACAAATATTTCTTCGCTCCAAACATTTTATATGTTAAAATATCAAATCGCTCCAAAATAAGGTCTTATAAAATGGACAGTAGGCTAAAAATTATTTTTCAAAGGTAAACCTTTAAAAATATAATGCAGATTAAAAATAAATATATTTTAACTTAAACTTATAAATCAAATCCATATTTATTAATTTGTTCATTCATTTATTTATGATATATCTGTATACTATATTTGATCATAAAAAAATTTGACTCGAACTTGAGATTTAACGCTTAATCAGGATTATTTATTTTAGTTGTAAACCGAGATTACCAGAAAACTTTGTGAAGAGGAAACCTGGTGCGCAGATTGTTGTATTGCTGTTGTATTTGACTATGATTCCCATGTTGGCCAGCAGGAACCTACTTCTCTTGTCCACATACTGACAATTTTAGCAAGAGATGACTCTCCAGGAATTCCCATATTCCTCTCAGCTTCACAACCAAAAAGACAAGATCACAAAACTAGTGGTGACAAAATCAACCTTTATTTTGTCTTTATCTTCTTGAGCCTTCCTACACAAAGAAATAGCTTCAATGTTTTCATCGGACCCAGTCTTGTTCTATATAAACTCTCACCATAAGAACTGTAGAGCCTACTGAATTGGAAATATTTACTTCTAAGAAGCTTCAGAATCTCTGGTCTGGTTTCTCTCAGCTGGGAGGTTTCTGGGAAGAGCAACCTGTATGGAGTCTGGTAATATACTGTCACCACATGTTTTGTCTCTCTACTTCATGAAATCTGTTTATTCAGTTGTTTAAGATCCATAACACCATGGTTAATATAATCCCCTTTCATCCATGTGATTTCTTCACCATGGAGAATTTCATTTTGATTTTGATGTTTTAAGGATGACCCTAGTGATTTCTTCACAAAAATCTTCATATTCTTTTGGAAATGACAAGTATAATTCTGTTTCAGTTTTATTCTTTTTAGGGACATAGTAAACTGAAATTTTCATAGGAAAACGGAATCATGAATTTTTATGAAGTTATTTGAATTTAGTAGTTTGAGGGGCAAGTAGCTAGGCACTAATGACTTAAGGTTAAATGTAGGATCGAACTTATGACCTCCTGTTTAGAAAAGAGCTTATATGCCACTAGACTACAAGGTTATTGGCTAGTAGTTTAAAGTTTGAATAAAAAATAGTGGTAATAATATTATATGCAAGAACAGTTTAACTCACTTTTAATAGTAATATTCCAAATAGTAAAACAGGCCACTTTGGCCCAGCCCATTAAGCCCATGTAAAAAATTGGGCCAACCTGGCCCTCATGGGAAGTTAGTTGAAATTGGAAGTTCATTTCCCCTGTTATCTTTGGATTTCCTAACCTAACTCTTCTCTTCAATTCAAATACAGGCTCACCTTATCAGTGGCTGAGAGAGCTGAGATGGGACAATGGAGGCTTTAACCCAATCTCTGTGCTTCTTGATTGTGCAAAATGTGTTGCAACTGGAAGCATTAAGAATGCAGACATGGGTCTTGAGTTCATCTCCCACCTTGCCTCACCTGATGGCGATGCAGTTCAGAGAATGGTCACTTATTTTAGTGAAGCCCTTGCTTACAGAATCATCAAGAACCTTCCAGGTGTCTATAAAACCCTCCATTCCTCAAAACCCTCACCAACCTCAGAACAAGTCTTGGTCCAAAAATACTTCTTTGAGCTGTGTCCTTTCTTGAAACTAGCGTACTTGACCACAAACCAGGCCATTGTTGAAGCCATGGAAGGTGAAAAGCTTGTTCACATCATAGACCTTCATTCTTCTGAACCTGCACAGTGGGTTGACCTTCTGATGACTCTGAAAAAACGTCCAGGTGGCCCTCCTCACTTGAAGATCACAGGTATTCATGAGAAGAAAGAGGTTCTGGATCAAATGGGGTTTCATTTGACCACTGAAGCAGGAAAACTTGACTTCCCTTTACAGTTCAATCCAATTGTGAGCAAGATGGAAGATCTTAACCTTGAAAGCTTGCCTGTCAAGTCTGGAGAAGCACTTGCCATAAGTTCTGTGCTTCAGCTTCACACTCTTCTTGCAAGTGATGATGATGTAGCTGCCAGAAACTCACCAGCCACACCCATGAATCTGCAGAGAGCCGTTCATCATCATCATCATCAGCAGCAGAACCAAAGGACTTTTGCAGAATGGTTAGAGAAGGACATGATCAATGCTTATATCACAAGTCCAGACTCAGCACTGTCACCACTTTCTCTCAGTGCTTCTCCTAAAATGGGAATGTTTTTGAACTCCTTAAGGAAACTCCAACCCAAACTGATGGTGATCACTGAGCAAGAATCAAACCTTAATGGGTCTAACCTAATGGAGAGGATAGAGAAAGCACTGTACTTCTATAGTCCATTGTTTGATTGCTTGGACTCAACTGTTTCGAGGACTTCATTGGAGAGACAGAAACTTGAGAGTGAACTGCTTGGGGAACAGATCAAGAGGATCATAGCCTGTGAGGGTTTTGAGAGGAAGGAAAGGTACGAGAAGCTTGAGAAATGGATTCCAAGGCTGGAAATGATTGGTTTTAAGAGAGTTCCATTGAGCTACTATGGGATGTTGCAGGCAAAGAGATTGTTGCAGAGCTATGGATACAAGTACAAGATTAGAGAAGAGAATGATTGTTTGCTTCTGTGTTGGAGTGATAGGCCACTTTTTGCTGTATCAGCTTGGAGTTATAGAAGATGAATGTGTGATTTCATATGAATGTCCCTCTATTAATGTAGGGCCGTGGGTTATTTGGGAAATATATAGTTGAATAATCTTTATGATCCACTCATTGGTTTGGATTCTTTTTTCAGCCAAATTAATTGAGCTGCTAACAAAACTGAATCAATCAATTAAATTTTAGGGTGACATATGAAATGAACAAATAAAAGAAATTAAGGTCCCTGTTGGAACATGGGTTTTGAAGATACGCAGTTGAACAATCTTTTCCATTCAGTTTGCACGTTTTTCATGATGAAGATTCTTCCTAAATACTTAATTTATGTAAGAAAGAAAGGTAAGTGAGCAAATTTTCTTTTGAATTTTAGATCCAATAATATCACAGATTCTGAACTTGTTTATTGTGTAAATTGTTCCCTCAACTTTTAAAAATGACAATATAATCCCTATTGTTAATAAAAGTTAACTTTGATTGATAGTTGACTAAAAATGATATAAAAAAAAGGATCTAAAAAATTATAGAAAAGGACAAAAAATTACAATAAAATACCCAAAACTACAACCATAGAACAAAAAATTACAGCAAATAACAAAAAAAAAAAATACTTTTTGAGGTCCTTTTCTAGTTAGCTAATGGTTAAAATTAATTTTTGTTAATAGTAAGGGCTAGATGTGACACCCTAACCTTACTAACTAAAAACTTGATCAAATATCATAGTGATAAAAAGATTTAAATTAATAAAATCAATTATCATGGTATAAAAGATTAAAATCTAGTTCCTTAAACTTATTATTTTATTTAAATAACTATGATAAAAAAAGAATTAAATTTATTTTCAAGAGCTACTTTGGTTATAAGAGATTTAGTTAATAAGTATATTTAAAAAAACAATATTAATAAAAAAAGATTAAACTAGTTAAAAAGGCTACCAATATTATAAAAGTTTGACTTTACTATTTAAAACTACAAATAACACCCTATCATGGTAGAAAAAAAGGCTACTATGATAGGTAAAAAAGAACCTAAAAAAATATTTATTCATTTTCACAAAAGTCTAGCTTACTAAATCTCGCTAACATGCGAATCACATCCTGTTACAAATACTCAAACATTTATTTCAATAAAAGTCTTGACACTAAAATTCTATATTAAAACATTTACTTTGAATAAATCAATTATACAATTTCTATGGCTTTAGGCCTCAACTATTGGTGCTTAACAGTCATTAATAAATAATTTCAAAAATCCACCCAAATAACAAATGAGTCATATATTAACAAATAATTATTTTACAAACTGAAATGGGACTTAAAGCTTAGTCAAGTTAAGCCCCAGACTTCCAGACGTTACCCTCTACTCCACTAAACTCACCTAAAATGTTAAAGAAAATGTTAAAGACAGGGGTGAGCACTAACGTCTCAGTGACTCAGAATTTTACCATACATGTACACGCTAATGGCACACCATTAACTATAGGTATATATAAAATTTCATTACTATTAATTATGAACATACAAATTCATGGGGCATAACTGATAATAATTATACGCAACATATGATGATATGCAAGGTAGGTAACCTCCTTATTGCTCCGTCTAACCTTATATCACTGACTAGAACCATAGGCTTATTCATGGTCTAGCCCACACGTCGGACGAACCAAAGCATCTCTGGCACTTGAGATGCATTTAGCCAAAGGTACAAAATCTAAACTCAGACTATGGCTCCCCTTATTAAAAAATCCAATAAGAAAATGTCACTGTCCTATGTTTCTCCTTTACAAACCTGGCTGGGTAAGTATTAAGGAACAAGACCCTATATAAGATCAACTACCATGCGCAAAGTGGAGACAAATCATGTGGTCACAAATTATATATATATATATATATATACACATATCAACATCAACATCATCGTCATCATCATCATCTCCACAACCCATCACCAATGCGTGACATGCATATGCAACAATCATAATACATACAAACAAGCTTTAAAGGAAATATATTAACACATAATCATGGCAATAAATCACAAGCACGCTTGACAGGATTAAAGTAACTCATTAGATTCTAGTATTCCACAATCATGTCCTTTATTGTTTATCATGAAGTTTATATATCATATTCGATTAGACAAAATTATATTAGATCATACTTTTATAAATCATCATAACAAACACAATTGGCACACATATAGAAAAATCCCAAATTACCAGTTCTCCTTAAGCTTATAAGGAATTACATGGCAAGAATCCAAACTGTAAAAGAACTTAAAGGGAGTCTACATAAGTCACACATATATAAAAATATTAATACATAATTCAAAACTTTTAAAAGATTGCCTCTAAAGCTACTTTAAAATTACTTTAAGACTTGCAAGTTATCTTAGAAAATCCAAAATTCTCTTTTAAATCCATATTCTTTTTTATGAACTAATTTATCTATGTTTATAACTAACAAATTTTTCATAGTTTCAAAATATTAATTTAAAATCTCTATTCATCTCAATTTTATTCTTTGTCTCAAACCTTACTCTAGGAGTCCTCAGATCTAATAAAAATTTCATGTTTATAGATTAAATATTCTAAAATCTCATAATAAATTTATATATATTATTAGAGAAATTTTCTTTAAGGAAAGAGACCTAAAAAAAATCTAATAGATCACACTTTAGAGTTTTCACTTCCTAAAATCTAAAAACTAAATAAATAGATAGACAGAACATAATATTTAGAATAGTTACGTAGTTTTAAAAAGTCTAAAATCATCTTTGAAATATCTAATCACAAATCTAAATTCTAAAATCTCACTGACTCACGTTCTTATCCCTCTCTTACTCGCAAAGTTGCCGCTATAAAGAAATCAATAATGAACAGTGCGCTAGCCTTTGCTTTTTGACTACTTAGGTTTAGATTAAATGCGTGGGAGTGGGCATTAGGCTCACACTTAAACTTCATTATAAAAATTTACGGATTAAAATATACATTTCATTCTTTAATTTTATATAATATTTTATTTTTGTTTCTTAATTTTATAAAATATCTTTTTAATTATTTAACTCTAATACTATTAGTTTTATCTTAATAAATTTTTACATTAAACTTTTAAATATTGACAAAATATTCTCAAATGTTGATATATTAAGTTTAATTTTTTTCAAAATAACAATTATTGATGTAAAAAAATAATTATTTAAAATTAATAATATTAGGGTTAAAGGACTAATATAATACTTTACAACATTAAATGACCAAATAAAAACTTTGTAAAAAATTAGAGGATTAAAAATATATTTTAACCAAAATTTATGTATATATCTTTATTAATTTTTTTTTACTTGTGTGTGTGTGTGTTATAACATACATTTTATTTTGCATCCTCCATAATATTATCATTTTGCTAGAAATTAAATCCTCATGATTTATCCTATTTTAGGTAAACTCTCTCTCTCTCTCTCTCTATATATATATATATATATATTATTTTTCTAATTTTATATATTTCTAATCCTCAATATATAATCGGAAAATCTTTGTATATCTTGAAATTCCCTTCCCATGCCTCACAATTATCTATAATTATTTTATTACTAAGAGATTAAAATTTAATATGTTTTATCAAATTGCATCATTTTTAAAAGTTAAGGAAATAATTTACATAATAAACTGATTTATGTTCTATGATGCTACTAAATGTAAAGTTCAAGGTGTAATTTGTTTATTTACCTATAAAGAAAGATAAATAAAGCTTGCTTGAAATCATGCTTGACATTACATATAAACTTTATGTTATAAATTATGATTTTGGATTTATAATTAATTTTGACTTGTCTGGAGGTGTTAGGATATTTTTAAGAAAAATATAATTTTAAATTTATAAATAATTTTGACATATATAATATATGTTTGGATATTTTTAAGAAAACTGTAATTTTAAATTCATAATTAATTTTGGCATGTACTAGAGGTATTTGGATATATCTTAAAAAATTATGGTTTTCATCTAAAATTGATTATCAATGATTTCCAACCATGCACAATTATATGCAAAATCAATCATATAAATCAATTTTATCTCATCTTAATCCAAACACACAAAAAAACTAAATTTTTGAAATTTACAAAGATTCCACAGTCAACATATGATTTGCATTTAATCTTACGATTTACACAACTGAACTTGGAATTTAGAATTAAATTAATTATGTGCTGACCTGATAACATAAGGTATCTTCACTTATTTGTTTTTGTAACCTTGGTCTTTATTTATAGTTCTATAAATTATTGATCCGTCATCATTTTTCTTTAGGCCCATAGGTCAGGGGGAAGAATGAAAACTCAGCCAAAACTCGTATACTATATATATGTATATAAAAAAATTAAGTGAGATTTGAACACACGATTTGTGGATTTTAACTCAATGTTTTCGGTTTAACAACAGAAGTTTCTATTTGATTCGTTCATTCTTGACCAAACAAATATTAATTTTCGAGCTTAGGTTTTGCCTGATTTTACAGTTTTCTTCGTCGATAATTTAATGCTTGTGTTTTAACTCTTTCTAACAACCTTATGTATTATAGTTATAGTCTCGTAGATATAATCGACAGAATTAATTAATTAATTAATTATTATAGTTTTCCTCGCAGCTAAGGATATGTTCTATGAAATTTTCCGTTGCTAGGATCCACTCTTGAAGATAACGACAACGAGTCTCTCTTTTATTTACAACTAAACAAGGATTGACAGATTAATTAGATTGAATATTCCGTCCCACAAGATGGTTCTTGTTGTTTTTAGTTTTTTATATATAATTAATATAAAATCTATCATCTCTGTAAATCGTTATTCGTTATTAAACAAGCTATAATTTTGAATAGGGTTCCCACTTCCCAGAGTTAATTATTGAAGATTTAAAAATATAGCATATATCAACTTAAATATAATCTAATTAATCCATCAACCTTACTTCCACAATATTGGTGAACTAGAGAGTGCTTATTAGTATAACATATATAATGGTACGTATCTTGTGATAATTAATTCATACAACCAACTTCATTTAGTTCGATTATACAACTTGTTTATTATTATTGTGCCTGTCAATGGTTGTTTGGTTATCATTCATACAAGTATCATGTTTTTATGTAAGTTTTAACTTTCTGGGCCTGTTTTGATGTATTTATGTCAATAAACTAATAATTATGGTGTTTCTCATTAATTACGTATTAGGGTTCTTTGAATATTATAAAGAAAGACGTAATAAAAAGGTGCATGGGACATTTTCTGCTAATGTGAGTCAACACCTTGGTCATTATCCCAACATGATTGTTTAAATCCTGAAAGATGAATTTAATTAATGATTGTTAATTAAAAAAAGTAGATATAAAAATATTTATTTAGACAACTATAAGTATAAGAATATTAATTATAGCATCACTTGAAGTAAGAGTATATGATGTCTCGAGAGTGATTTGCAAATTGCAACAAATTAAAAATATGGGCAAACTTATCATGTTTTAGATTATTTTGATATTTTAACTGTCATTAAATCAGGGAGCTTACTATATGATATTATTTCCCTTATAATATACGCGCGCGCGAACACGCATATATATTTTCTTTCTTACTGACCTGGTTCATATGGACACGAAGACAGTTTTAGGAGATTCAAGATTAATTATTGGCGGTCTGCCTGAAGCCCTACATTTTGACTAATCTTTTTTAATTTTATTTATAAGTCATTTTTAATATATTTATTAAAATTAAAAAATATAAATTTCATTAACTTTATTTAAAAATTCAATAAGTTTTCAACTTTATCCTATTAAACATGTATCTTTTAAATATATGTATTTTAAAATCATAATTTTTTTAGTATTTAATAGGGATAAAATCATAAAGATATATATATATATATATATTAAATATTTAAAAAAATTTTATAAATAAAATTAAAATAAATACACTTTCCTCTGCCTTATAAATAGCACGATAGAGGAGTAACAACAAGAAGAACAAAGGAGAAATATTTGTCTTCGTTGTCCTATACAAGAAAAGATCCTTGTCATTCTCATTTTTCTTTTGGTTGAAGGTATGAAAACCTTATAGATTAATTGAAATAATTAAATAATGACGAAAACAAGGTGTTTAATTTTTAGATATAAATATCCGATATCAATCAGCAATTTCTACTCTCTGAGTTCTCATACATCAAACCCTTCACACCAACCTTTTCTTTTCTTTTGACAAACATAATATATCCTTAGCTTGTCTATCACCTAATCCCGACTAGAGGTGAGTCGGGACTTAGGTTTCTCAATTATAAGAAAGCTCTCCCAAGTCCCTACATAGTTTTTTTCATTGACAAGGCTCAAATTCAACGTCTTGCTCTGTGTGTGTGTAGACGGGCCTCTTCTCTTTCTCTCTCTGAAGATCCAACAATTTCAATCCCTGTTGGTTTATTAATCTTCATAATGGATACTGGTATGCACTCTCAGATTGATCTTCCTTTGAAGTTTTAGAATGAAATGGGTTTTGAAGATGAAGAAGAAGCAAATATAATCCTCTAGTCTTGTTTATAAAGTTAAAAAAGAAGATTAATTTTGATTCTATTTATATAGCACTTCATTATTTTCTATGTGTTCATCTTTATCTTTCTATGTTTTATTAAATGCTAAGAAACATTATTAACAATAATTCTTTTTGTCCTTGTTAGAGATAAAAGTAAAAACTTATTAAATTTTAAGATATAATTGATGAGATTTAAGATTTTTCTTAATTTAAACAAAAAATGCTAAAAATAACTTATAAATAAAGTCAAAAGAAGTGTATGTTTTTTTATAAAAAAATTAATCCTTAATGAATTAGCACATAGATTATTACACATACACACACATGTACACATATAACATGTTTGTTGTGAATAGGCATGTACAGTTAGTTTTTAAATAAGCTATTGACTCATTGTTGGCCAACAGGAGTGTGAACACTGTGTTACTTTCTTAATTAATCCTTAATTTGTATTTTTTATTGGGTTATTCCTAAGAGAAGGCAACCACTAATTATCTTCTCTTTTTGAAATTCGAGGACTGAAACCGTTAATGGTAAGTCCTCAATTTGTTTGTGAGAGAATAGGTGAGTGATATCTTAGAAGAAAACAGGGACCAACCATGCATCTCCTTTAATTTATCCATAATTAAAATTCTGTTTTTTTAAGGATAAATTTGTTCATTGGTAAAAAAAAATTCTTGTGCCAAAAAAATATAAACTAAATTTTTAAAAATTTGAGAACGTGACTGGTTTACATTAATATACAAGAGATATATTATTGACGTATAATACTTCCTTCGTCTCAAATTATAGGGTACTTTTGAAAGAGTTTCTTCATCTCAAAATATAAGACACTTTAAGTAGATTAAGATTTTATTAAATGCACCAATTTTAATTTTACCTTTTCTCTCTCTATAATTAATTTTCATCACTTCTCTTTTTAATATATTAAATGATGGGTATTTTTGAAAGTTTATATTTTTATTTTGAAAAAATAAGGTTGTTAAGTATATTTAATGAGACTTATTAGTATGCGAGATTTTATCTAAAAATGTCTTATAATTTGGGAGGAAGGGAGTAGTATATTATTAACAAATATAATAAATTGATTATAATACAAAATATAATAAATATTGAATTATTTATTTAATTTAGTCATATAATATGAGCTATATCTAAAAAAGCTGTCTCTTTGTTTTTTTAACGTAATTATGGATCATCATTAAAGCAATTGAGTCAAGTAGAAACAAATACAATCATGCATAACACAATTTCGTATCCACCATCTTGTTGCAGGCGGGTGGTGAATGAGAAAAGGAGTCTTAGTACTTTATTATCTCTGTTTTTGATATATAAAATATTTTTTAAAAATTTATTTTATCTCTAAATATAAGAGATGCTATAGTATTTTTGAGTAACTTGACAAATTTGTCCTTGTCTTGAAAAAGAGAAGAGAAACTAATAATTGTGTACTTTACCTATCCTACCATGATATTAATTGACAATATTAGGAGCAAAATTTAAAAATCATTTGTAATTTAATGAGATTTCAACTAAATAATAAATTTTATTGATTTGATTAAAAATACATTATATATAGGACAGAAGGAATATGATTGTATTTGTTTCCTTGCTCTCTATTGCTTTAATGGCCTCCTCGTTTTGGAGTTTCTAATATAAAAAAGTCTAGCACTCCTTATAATAATACTCTAACTTGTTGGCTATTTCTTTTTTCTTTCTTTCTTTTGATTGTTAACATCAGGATAAGATGAAAAATATTTTGATATCTTATAGATAGGGTCAAGAAACAAGCAGGTCTAGCCATTACAAACTTGGACCCAAAAGTCTTTTTTAGCCAAAAATTGATTATTTCTTTAATGCCTCGTTTTATTTTTTAAAATATTTTTAAATTAAGTTTGTCGTTATAATATTACACATTTATATTTCAAAGTACGAATTAAAATATTCTAAACTTCAAAATAAGTAATATAAATACTAATTTGAAAATACAAACACGTTTTAAAGTTTAAATTTTATGCAAGAACATAAAATACCACAATTTTTTTGGAATTAATACAAATATATGCTTAAACAAGTAGCTCGAGTATGTTTTTTCAAGGATTAAAAAAATGGCAAGACTCATAAGCACTTCTATATTAGAATATCCTAATTTTCAAAATCCAAGCCCCACAAATAGACTTAAATGGACTGTAGCTCGATGAGCAGGACTTTTATTCCTGACTCCACTTACGATCATAAAACAGTGCAGTCCCCCCCCCCCCCCATATTTTTCAAAGAAAAATAACTCACATTCTATTCTTCCGATCTGCTAGTGCTTCTTAGTTCCTAATTCATCTCTTTCTGTCTCTCTCAAAGGCTTGGAAGGTGAGGAAAGGGGAATATTTCTCATTCGTCGCCTGGCGACCTGTGCTAGGCTTATTGAAAATGGTGAGTTGAAGGATGCAGGCTTTGGACTCAAGGACATGGCCGGTTTTGTTTCTGCTGATGGAGATCCAATGCAGAGGCTGGCTACCTACTTCAAAATGGCTCTTAGTTACAGGTTGATAAAAAGTATTCGCCATGTTCCTCAAGTCCTATGTTTCACTAATCCCTGGTCAACCTTAGAACAACAACATGCCAGGAAGTTGTTCTTTGAATATCTCCCATTCTTGAAGTTTGCTTATTTGATCACCAATCAGGCGATTGTTGAAGCCATGCAAAGAGAATCAAAGTTCCATATCATCGTTCTCAATGCATGGAATGCTGCTCAATGGAGCAATCTTCTTCATACTTTGAAAGAACAACGAAAAGGAACAAATACACTACAGCTTCTCAAGATCACTGGGATTCATGAGAATAAAGAGGTTTTGCAAGAAATGGAATCTCAGTTGATCCAAGAAGCTAAGAATCTGAACATCCCCTTCGAATTCTATTCTATTGCAAGACAATTGGAGGAACTTAGCATCGAAGATTTTCCAGTACACCCAGAAGAGCCCATTGCTATAAGTTCTGTTCTTCATCTTCATTCTCTTCTAGCAGTTGATAATGATCATCATCAAGTCAGTCCTAATGATTCAGACTTGCCGCTTAAACTGAGGAGGTTTTTAAGCGTCCTTTGGAAACTCCACCCCAGGTTGATGATCATCACAGAACAAGAATCAGATAACAATGGGTCTTCTTTAACAGACAGGCTTGACGAGGCACTGAACTTCTATGCTGCGTTATTTGATGGCTTGGAAGCCAATAATGTTCTAAAAGAAAGAGCTATGAAGAGAATTATGCTAGAGAGGATGCTTCTAGGGGAAGAGATAAAGAACATTATTGCATGTGATGGAGCTGATAGAAAAGAGAGGCATGGTAAGTTCTTGAAGACATGGCGTCCATCACTTGAATTAGCTGAATTCATCAGGGTGCCTATAGATTATGAGAAAATGTTGGAGGTAACAAAGCCATTAGTTCAGAGCTATGGACCCGCATACAAGTTACTAGAGAACAATCAATGTCTGTTTACATGCTGGAAAAATCGTCCACTCTATTCCATATCAGCATGGAGGTTCTGAGGGAAAATTTCAAGGAAGCTAGCTGGACTTGATATCAATAACTAAACTACACTTTACGAACCCAATTACACAACCAAGCTGGCAATGATAATCAAGGTAGACCTGATGATCAATATTGAAAATAATATGGGTTGGTGAAGTGTGGTTCAGTTCATTGATCGACCAAGTCTAGCTTGAATGATATGAACATGGCTTTGGTTGTGTAATTATTGGGTTCGTAAAGTGTGATTTAATGGCATTATTGATGACGATGATCCTTATGGGGTTGCTCTTAGGGATGTGGTAATGAATGGTTTAAATAATGAGTTGAGATCTGATTATTGACTGATTCTGCGGACGGGTGGGTTTGATCGCTTCAGTTCAAAAGAGTTTATTGCATATGATAAGCCTCTCATCAGAAATCTGTTCTTTAACGTAATTATGAATTTCTGATTCTGTTGGATGGGCTCCCTTCACTTCAAAATTAGTAGTAATGATTTATCTTTTGGTTGTATAATGCTTACGTTGATTTCTTACTTTTCATTTCAGTGTGTGTATCAGCTTTTTTTGGTTTAATAAAATATGCTTTCGTTTTAGCCAATAATAGTATAAAGTAAACAAATATGCAAGTTGCTAGTGCATAGGAAGCTCAGCTTTATATGCTGGGCATGCAATGGAATCGAGTTTGTTAATATTTGTTAACTATTGATTCGTGTAAAATAATGAGTATGACAAGGAAATATAAGCTATTATAATATCCTCAAAGCAATAATAAAATTGATCCTCTGGCAAAAAAAAAAAATTGATCCAATTAATAAGGATAAAACTTTTATTTCATTTAGGTGTAGAATTCCTTTTTAATGTGAGGTTCTTGTAAATAAGTAACTTGTAAGTATTTTTTTTAAGTTATAAAGCGTAACCTAGTCCCAAGAACCCGACTCTATATTTTTTTTAAGGGAAAAAACAAATGCATCATATTTTTAATAATGTGATAATTAATCTTATTAATAGGTAATTAATCTTTTTTGGGGAAAAACCAAGGGATCATAAATCCCACGTGTCATGAACATGCCTAGACTGAGCGATGCCATGTGTGTAGTTTTTACATCATAAATTGGAACGAAGCATAAGGATATAAAGTTAAAGAAAAAAAAAATTACAAGGGACCAGCTAGAGAAATTAATTAAAGGATTAATTTTTACTAAGTTTTAAATAATATAGTTAATCAATCAAGTAATAATAGGCACTTATTAAGTCCTCTAATTTTATAAAAATCATGAACACTAAGAATTTCTTAAAAAAATGCTCAAATTGTACTATATGGATTATAAATTATATTAATAATATATTTGAAACTTTTTCCGTTGTGATTAAATATGAATATAAAATTTAATTGATCGAGCTCCAAGATGAAAAGCCTATTTATCGTAGAATTCTTCTTATTATATCTAAAGATTCAATAGAGATAAAGAATTACTTTTCCTTCATCCCAAAAAACAAAATAAGAATTGCTTTAATTTCCTAGATTTTATCAAAATCATCTTTTGTGGTTCATCGACATAAATATTTTAAAAATTTGAATTTGGATTTGGTAATGGTATGTCTTAATTATAGTCATTAATATTTATCAAGATACATTTTTCTTAAAATAAATAAAACAATTATATATTATGATTAGAACATTTTTCATCCCTTCCAAAAATTTAAAATTTGATACTTTATAAATATTATAAAATATAAAATCTTTTACAACTGCTCAATAAAATTGAATGATTGTTGTCGTGTTATATGTGACACTCATAGAGTATATAAACTTAGACTACTCATCAAATCTAAATCCTTGAAGATATAATGTGAAAAGGAAGACTCCTTCCAATAATTATGTTTACCTCATACATGAGAGTTGGAAATAGAATAAATTAATCTATTGATTACTCATATTTAAAAGGAACAACAAAGTTATTAGCATCAATCTTGCCATATCATATGGCCAGCTGGAGTAGAAAAACTTGTTTAAAAGCTTCTATATATATATATATCATCCAGAACGTTAGGATTAATAATTACCTGTATTGGCTTCTGGATATAGTTCTTCAGTATCTACGCTCACAAATAACTATGTCCTTGTTTCCTGCTCCATATCTGTCTTCTTCACAAGGCATCACATAGGTTTCTCAAAATCACAACTCCAAAAGCATCCTAAGATATTTGTCTTTGAGTTATAATTAATATTTGATTACTTCGTCTCTTTCTTCATTCACATAGATTAATTAGTCAAGGTGAAATGAGAGGATAACAATCAAGACATATTTTTTGTGTCTTATTCTCTTAAAATCTCAAAAGGGATCGGAATATAATTTTTTTTTTCTAATCTCCAATTCTTTTTAATCCCCACAGTTTAAAACAATGTATGTTTTAGTCTCTGAAAAAGCGCAGATGCATGGTGCACTTGTCCGGGAAAAAAAAAAAAAATAGTGCAACTATCATTCGTCGTCAATGAATAATGGACTGACACTAACTATCAGAAATTCCCGGGACTAATTCACCAATATTCAAATTATTTTAGGTATGAAAGTAAAAATAAAAATAAATTATGAGGGCCTATTTAAAACATAAAAAATTATAGGAAGATTAATTTTTCCAACTAAAGAAATATATGTTTGTGGTATATTCTCCTTTTTGTCGGTTATACGAAAAAAAAGACATAAGAATTCAATAAATCCAAATAATTTGAAGAAAACTTAGTGCCCTTCAACGCTTGAAAAACGTATCAGCCACAAAAGCTCCATATATAAAGACCAGCTTTTGCTCTGTGTTTGAAGTCCCTGCTCTCTGAACTCTGAAGCCTACAGCGTCATCGTCATAGAAAATGGATCCTGGTATGTCCGAGCCCACGTTTGTATTTGAATGAGACACTAGTACAATTATATTCCTACTTTGTATATATTTGAGGTTGGATGTATATACATATATATATATATATGCCTTTAATTTGTATTATTATTAAATCTACACGAATATTTTTTGTTAATTTTTATTTTCTTTCTGTCCTTTTCTGTTCTCCTATATTCTATATAACACCAATAATACGGGTATATGTATTAGATACGGATATAATACTCAATTTTAAAATTTTAGCCGCATCCAGTAAATGGGAATCTAAATGTATGTCTGGTGCAATAGGCATGACCAACTTTTTTGATAATTGGACCCATTTAGTTGTTGAGAAGAAAGGAAACATAATAGAATGAGTTAATTGTGAAATAATATTATACTCGTTTAAAAATATAAGATATTTTTAACTAAATCTCATCCCCTCAATAAATTAATTATTTATTTTCAAGCTAACCCTTTGAAACAGTTAAAAAATTACATTTTTTAACATTAAATTTCTTAAAAAAAATGTACATTTTTTTATTGGAGGAAGTATTACATAATGAATTGTATAAGTTAATACTATAGTATGCTTCGTGACAAATGATATGATATCATGTAGTTTAAAAGTTATCTTCAATTGAGCTTGGTAATGCTCCAATCTGACATAAATAGTCAAAATAGGTTGTTTGGTATAATGGATTTTACTTCTTTAGAGAATCTTATTCCATCAAAATTAGTGAAACTCATATCTAGGGAATCCACTTCTTCCATCACTTCCTTCATTTAATTAAAAAAAAAAAAAAATCCAGCTCCGTGTGCAAAATGAACATGTTTTGAAACCCCATTTCAACCTTCATTTCATCTTCTTCCACTTCCAATTTTATAAAATTTCAAAATTTTAAAGTCTTTAATTATAATAAATGTTTTTAAAAGGTCCTTAAATGTCATTTTCCAATTACTCATTAATACTTCAAAATTTATCACGTTACTTCGGATCTTAGTTATGTCTTGGTGCTTCCTATTCCCTAATTCATTTCTCTCTGTCTCTCCTTCTATAGATTCGCCAAGGCAGGACCTCAAAGACATGAACGTGGAAGAAAGGGCCTTATACCTAGTTCATCTTTTGAAGACTTGTGCTAGGCATACAGAAGATGGTCAGTTCAAGAAGGCAAGCGCTGGACTTGAGTGCATTGCTAGTGTTGCTGCTCCTGATGGCGATCCAATGCAGAGGCTAGCTACTTACTTTCTTGATGGGCTTGCTTACAGGTTGGTCAAGAATATTCGTGGTGTGCCTGAAGCTCTAAATCTGTCAAATCCCTTGTCCACCTTAGCACAACAATATGCCAGAAAGTTGTTCTTTGAGTTTTGTCCATTCTTGAAGTTTTCTTATCTGATCTCCAATCAGACCATTGTAGAAGCCATGGAAGGAGAACAAGTGATTCATATTATTGATCTCAATGCCTGTGATGCTGGTCAATGGATATCCCTTCTTCATAGTTTGAAAGAACAACGACAAGGAAGTCCACTACCTTATGTGAAGATCACAGGGATTCATGAGAATAAAGGGGTTTTGGAACAAATGCGGATTCAGTTGATTGAAGAATCTGAGAAAATGAGCATCCCCTTAGATTTCTATCCCATTGAGAGCCAGTTAGAAAAACTTTGCTTTGACAAGTTGCCTGTGAAGCCAGGAGAGCTCCTTGCTGTAAGTTCTGTTCTTCAGCTACATTCTCTTCTGGCGGTTGAAGATCAGATCAGTCCTGATTCAGTCTTGCCACCTAATCCTTCGCAATTCGACTCACCTAAGATGAGGTGGTTTCTAAGTAGCCTTTGGAAACTCAAACCCAGATTGATGGTCATTACAGAACAAGAATCAGATAACAATGGGCCTTCTGTTACAGACAGGCTTGACAAGGCACTGAACTTCTATGCTGCACTGTTCCATTGCTTGGAAGGTAATGTTCCCAAAGCAAGAGCAATAGAGAGAATCATGATGGAGAGGATGCTTCTTGGGGAGGAGATAAAGAACATTATTACTTGTGATGGAGTTGACAGAAAAGAGAGGCATGGCAAGTTTTCAAATACATGGCATCCATGGCTGAAATTGGCTGGATTCAAGCGAGTGCCACTTCACTATGAAAGAATGTTGCAGGTAACAAGGCCATTGCAGAGCTATGGGCGTGGATACAAGTTACTAGAGAACAATCAATGTCTGCTCACATGCTGGAATGATCTTCCACTCTATTCTATATCAGCCTGGAGGTTCTAAGGGAAAATTCCAAGAGGCTTGATCAATAAGAACTTGTAAGAGCATTATAGGAATTAAGCTTATATATACGTTAAGCATGATTAAGCATCAATGGAATTATCTAGTTTGAGCTTAACTATATGCACGTGTAAGTTACTCTAAGTCTCAATACAGAGTGGGTTGTGATCACAGCCTCAAGGCACTATATGTTTGCATGCACGTGCTTTTGTATTAAAGAACATATAGTCAAAGGTATTTTCAAAACATAATTGTGACTCTTTTTTTGGCTCAGTTTTGTTAAGCCTTGAATTATATGGTATTAGAGTTGTGATTCGTATCTTCCATTGAGAATTCAATGCAATAAAGTGAAGAAACAAAGGAAAGTAGCTCAGAGTTTACTCTTTTGACCTTCTCAATACTACCATAGAGGCAACAACTTGTAGATATAAGAGCTGACTCTCTTAAGGTATTATAGACTTTTGTGTTTGAAGAGTGAATGTAGAATACCCTTTATCAGAATCACAATAAATTTGTTGCCGTCTTCAACTCTATCTATCTTGTTTACATCTCTAAATTACCACAGTACTTCACTGAAATTCATCATATTGTTTTGGAAAAAATAGTCATTTTAGTCTTGTAGTTATAATTCAGTTGTAACTTAATCCCTAAATTTTAATTCGTTATAACTTAATCTCTAAAGTTTTGACTTGATTGTAATTTAATTCCTAAACTTAAACTTTTGCAATCCAATCCTTATATTTTTAATTATTTAAATATTAGTTCTTATATTTTAAAAAATAAAAATGTAAAGAGTAAAATTATGTTAAAATTTATTATCAATATTTTAAATTACTAAACCCTTTTAATATTTATAAATATTATAAATATTTAAATTTTAAAATATTTTTAATCTTTATAATTTTTTTTTTCAAAATATAAAGACCAATATTTAAATGGTTGAAACTATAGGAACTGAATTGCAAAAGGTAAAATTTAAAGATTAAGTTACAATTGAGTTAAAACTATAAGGATTGATTTACAATAAGTTAAAGTTCAGGAACTAAATTATAATTGGGTTAAAATTATAGAGACCAAATGTTAATTTTTTCCTTTTGTTTTACATAATATGATATTTTCACTTATCAAATTACCTTTTGGGCATTATATATCTAGATATACTAAATAAGCTAGTCTTTTGGGTTAAATTTTTTCTTTAAATTTATGTTCATAAATTGATACTTTCTTTGAGAGGTTAGCCTCAAAAAGATTAGCCACACATGGTTTTGATCAATAGGAGGCTAAGTAAAATATCATGAGTCTTTTAGAGATCTCATCTCTCAAAGTCATTGTTATGGTTTTAAGGAAAGTCTTACCTAACATGCTAGTTATTTTACACACTTTGTAATGGAACTTATAAAATTAGTGATTTACATATATTAATTATGCGTTCAAAAGAGAATGATGTAAAACAAATGTGTGACTATATATTTCACATGTACACTTGACATTTTCTCTGTTTTTTAATGCATTCATATAATTAGAGATTTTCACTATATATAGTAGATATCTAGATAGAGAATTGATTGGTAAAAGGGTTTGTACACCAAGACAACTTTATTCATAGTCATATATAATACATTATCATAAATGGTAATCAGAAGTTAAAGGAGATGTGTGGTGAATAAATATATGACATAGATTTCTTAACTTAATCCCAAAGGAATCATGAGATTTTTGTCCACATTTAGTTTTGAAAGATTTATTTTGTTTCTTTCTTTCTCCGTATGGACTCACAATGTCAAATATGAGATTTTGTCTACATCCATTTCATTTCTCGTGGGTGACGTAAAATAGCTTAGTGACATTGTCCTTTGTTTGGTTTTTAAGGAAAACGGCAAGAGATTCATCACTAGAAATACAGATCAATTTACAATTTTTACTCCCTCGCCTTCTCATTGAACCCAAAAGTCCCTTACTCCAGCTTTTTTGCTCTCTTTGGAGAATCAATAATTTGAATCTCTGGTGTATTGATCTTCATAATGGATGCAGGTATGCACTCTCGGATTTGAGCTTCCTTTCAAGTTTTAGAATAAAATGAGTTTGAAGATGGGGAGACAAGAAAAAAAGAAAGCAAGTATGCATTTTTCTTACTTAATGTATCAATTTTTCCCACGACAATTGTTGATATTGTAACTGTTTTCTGAATACTAATTTCCATGAACAGGACCTATTTGTGAAAATATCAATTTGAACACATACAATTAGGAGTGTCAATAAGGGACATTTATATTTTTTTTTTTTTTGAAGTTTTAACTCGTTCACGCATCATACTTCTTTGATCTAGAAAATGTAAGGGTGATCCACTTGAGAGTTTGTGAATACTTTAAAGTGTGCAGGTGTGACCTTGTCTATGAACTTATCCGATAACATTCCTACTTATGGTAGAAACGGGGCAACTTCCACTCATTCACATGTGCATCTATTTCTTTCTTTCTTTTTTTTTTTTAAATTAAAAAGGTAGGCATTAACAGCCTGAAAGTACAAGTAGGATTAAACCTGTGACTTTTCACTTATAAGAGAACATGCATGCCAATTACAAGGCCATTAGCACATGGATCATCTATCTCGATTAGCATCTGTCTCTCTCTACACACACAAATATCTATATATCATGTATGATATAATACGCACCAGATAACCTTTATTTTAATTTTTTTTATTTGCCCCATTTAAACTTTTGAAGTGTCGATCACATGCTCCAATCTATTCTTCGAAATTTCTCCTCCCCCGTACCGTGTTTTCTGGTTCCTTACCCGAATGATTCTATTAAGAAGATGCTTGGTATACTATAGCTCATGCATATTTTGAACGCATGAAGGCTCTGCTTACCAAAAATGAATAAACGAAATTCTTCTTTTTAGACAGCAATCACTTATAGACTCTTGCAATCCCTACCTCTTTCGGCCAAATTCTAACCTCCTGGTCATCAAACCTAACTTAGCCCTTGTCCTGCAATCTTGGATGACAAGAGGCAGATTGACTAATAACAAATAGACTTGTTGAATACAAATATAACAAATGATATCCAGGTTAAGATGTTGGTAAACGAAACACCTCCCAAATTATTGAGTAATACTTCAAGGTTCTTTCATGTTTGTCTGTATATTATATCTGTGTCAGTGCTTCTATATTCATGTATCTGACTCTTCATGAATAGATTCACCAATGCAGTACCTTAGAGACATCAAACTGGAACGCAGGGGCCGGTACCTACCTCGTGTCCAAGCAACCTTTGCTAGGTTTACTGAAATCCGTGACTTTAACAATGCAAGTGCAGCACTTGAGAACACTGTTAGTGTTGCATCCCCTGATGGGGATCCGATGCAAATGGTGGTAACGTACTCAAATAAAGGGCTTGCTTACAGGTTGGTCAAGAATCCCTTGCCGACATTAGAACAACAGTATGACAGAAAGTTGTTCATTGACTTCTGCCCATTCTTGAAGTTTTCTTATCTGATCACCAATCAGGCTATTGTTGAAGCCATGAAAAGAGAACAAGTGTTTCATATTATAGATCTCAATGCATGTGATGCTACTCAATGGATATATCTTCTTCATACTTTAAAGGAACAACGCCAAGGAGACCAACTACTTATTATAAAGATAACTGGGATTCATAAGAATAAAGATGTTTTGGAACAAATAGAGTTTCAATTGATTCAAGAAGCTCAAAAAATGAACATCCCCTTACACTTCTCACCCATTGTAAGCCAATTGGAGAAACTTTGCTTTGAGAAATTGCCTCTGAAACCAGGGGAGCCCCTTGCTATAAGTTCTATTCTTCATCTTCATTCTCTTCTTGCAGTTGATGATCAAATCAGTCCTGATTCAGTCCTACCACCAAATTCTTTGCATTGTGTTTCACCTAAGATGAGGTGGTTTCTAAGTAGCCTTTGGAAACTCCAACCGAAGTTAATGGTCATTACAGAAAAAGAATCAGATAACAATGGGCATTCTTTGACAGACAGGCTTGATAAGGCACTGAACTTCTATACTCCACTGTTTGATTGCTTGGAAGCTAGTGTTCCAAAAGAAAAAGCAGAGGAGAGAATCATACTGGAGAGGATGCTTCTCGGAGAGGAGATAATAATAAAGAACATTATTATTGGTGATGGATTTGACAGAAAAGAGAGGCATGGTAAGTTTCTGAAGACATGGCACCCATTGCTTGATTTGGCCGGGTTTAGGAGGGTTCCTATTGACTATGAGACAATGTTGCAAGTAACAAGGCCATTGCAGAGTTATGGGAGTGGATACAAGTTGCTAGACTTCAATCAATGTCTGATTACATGCTGGAACGATCTCCCGCTCTTTTCTGTATCAGCCTGGAGGTTCTAAGGGAAAATTTCAAGGTGGACTTACAAGAGCATTATAGGAAGATCAGCTTTATGTTAAGCGTGATGAAGTATCAATGGCATTGTTTGATTTGAGTTTGTTAATAATATACAAATGCAGGTGTTTTCATGTCTTTTTGTCCTAATGCATGTCCACTTGTAAGTTCACTCGAGTCTGATAGTGAAGAATGAACTGTAATAATAAATAGTACACTCAAAGCACCATGGGTGTGTGAGCTTGTCCAAGAGAATAGAAAAGTCAGAAGTTCTTCGACTACATTATTGCAACTCATCTATTTCTTTTAGTTCTTCTAAGCTTTGTGCTATGGTGTAGGAGCTGTGATTTTTATCATCAATTGAGAATTCAGTGTAGCTAATAAGTGAAGAACCATGAAGAAGCAGTCCAAAGTTTCCTGTCTTAACCTTCTCAAATCCAAATTTGGATCATACTCGAGAGAAAATCTTACCCTCCCTTGTATTGTAATTTCATTATATAAAAGTTCCCTTACTTTGTGCGCGCAAATTGCTCGAATCTAATATAATTAGATACTCAAAATAGATTGTTTGGTATAATGGATCTCATTTCTTAAAAGAATCCAGTTCCATCAATTGGTGAAACTCTTTTACACTTCATATCTATGGAATCCACTTCTTCCATCACTTCTTTCATTAAAAAATAAATAAATAAATACCCCAGTTTCATGTGCAAAACGAACATGTTTTAAAACCATTTTCAGTTCAATTCCTCTTCTTCCAATTCCACTCTAATAAAGATTCAAAATTTTAAGGTTTTTAATTATAATTTATATTCTTAAAATGCCTTTGAATGTCACTTTTTTCAATTACTCATTAATACTTCAAAATTTGTCATCTTAGTTTGGATCTTAGTTATGTCTTGGTACTTCCTATTCCCTAATTCATTCCTCTTTGTCTCTCTCCTTGCATAGATTCACCAAGGCAGGAGGACCTCAGAGACATGAACGTGAAAGAAAGGGCCTTATACCTAGTTCATCTTTTGAAGACTTGTGCTAGGTATACAGACGATGATGAGTTCAAGAAGGCAACCGCTGGACTTGAGCTAGTAATTCAGGCCAAGCCTGACAGGCCAACCCAGATAAACTTGAGTGCATTGCTAATGTTGATGCTCTTGATAAACTTAAACTATTTGGTTTTATTTTTAAGTTGAGTAGAAATTTTATATTCATTTCTTATATTTAGATTATTATATGAATATATAATTTTTTAATTTAATTGTTACATTACTGATTTGACCATTAGTCCAACCCAATTAAACCATGTGAATTGTGAACCACTGACCTTTCCAATTCAATATCCAGTCTAATTCTGAAAACTTTGATTTATAAGAATTAAGTTCATTTACATGTTAAGCATGATCAAGTATCAATGGAATTATTTGGTCTGAGCTTAACTATATGCACTTGTAAGTTACTCTAAGTCTCAATGAATAATGGACTGTTATCACAAACTAGGAGAAGACCAAGGCCTAACAGCTTGCACCAACTAGGAAGGGACCGCTGACGTCAACTAGGACTAGAGTATAGGCGACGATCATGGCTGAATGACCAACTTCTAACGAGACCAAATCACAAGCACCGATAGAGGCTAGATGGTCGACTTCCACTGAGACTGAACCTCCAGCACCAATTGGACAAGACGACTAACTTCCATCAAGACTGAAACATCAGTGCTGTCCGAGACTGAAGTGAAGGTGACGGCTGGGACTAGACAACCAACTTCCACTGAGAGTAGACCATCAACTCCGACCAAGACTACAATGCAAGCGATCGTCTAATCCCAGTTGGCAGCTGCAACCTAGTCTTGGTCTTCGTTGGCAATCTGGTCCTATTTAGTGCTACCGATGGGCTAGTTAAATTACAAAGAGATTGATGTAAGATTTGAAATAATAGAGTTTAGAAAGGATTTTAAATTACAAAAAGATTGATGTTGAATTTGGATTTAGGTCAAATCTAAATCCATACTTTTTTAATTATCCAAATAATAAATTTGGCTCAAATCTAAATCTCTTTGCATCCAAATATAGCATAAGATTACTTGGTTAAAACAAACAGGAATAATCCACAAAGTTCCGGATGAAGTCATTTTCCCTAAAACTAATCCATAATGAATAACTAGAAACACAACAAAAACTCAACAAAGCTGAAAAAATTAACAACTATTACAATAAAGAAAATGATTAAATACAAAAAACTAACACTTAATGATGATCCAAAATCGAACCTAAAAGAGGCAGATAACTCCCTAAATCAACTACAAAATAGCCCTCAACCCACAAAAGTAAAAAGAGTTATTAGATTATCCAGCCGAAAAAAATAGTTCAAGTTTTTTTTTACCAGTAAAAAAAAAACAGTTCAAGTTTAAAATATAAAAACCAATACAATAAATAAAATATTAAAAGCCAGACTAGTCAAAGTACTAATTCAGGGGTTAATAATTAAAATCATGATTAAATCGATCATAAACAAAACTTTTTATTAAACTAATCAAGATATTGGTTTAAGGATTTGCTAGTTCAACTAGGTAAGTTGCCCGGATTTTTATACTATGCAAATAAATCTCTCTAACTCACATGAGAATTTTATTTTAAACCATAAAAAATAAGCCAAAATTCAACCACTAATAACCTAAATTAAGGTTTATTTAACACAAGTCATATATGGATCCCAATTTGGTTCTTCGCATGGAGGCAAAGCAAAAGGTTTTTTAATCAAATGAAAAAAAGAAGGTTTTTTTTTTTTTAACTTCTTACTTTCTCTGTAATTAACTCTTGCATTATAAGTTTTGACTTATATTTGAATTTAAAATTCTTTTCCCTATTCTAAATTTAAAATTCATTTATATTGATTTGATTGAAAATATACGAGTACACTAAGTAAATGCAAGTTTTATCATAAGAAGTTTCAATATGATCAGTCATTCATTCTAGACCAAACAAATGCTATAATCATCAAGGTCAGGCTTTTACCTGATTTTAAAATTCTTCATCAATATATTCACATCTTTCACTCTTGCTTCATTTATATATATCCATACATGTTTTTATGCTTTGTTTTAACTCTTTCCAATAATTGTATATAAGCACTATAATATACATCTCCAACATAATTAATTAATACGAAACTGAAGATATATTCCATGAAAATTTGAGTGTCTGAATACAAAGCTACAAAACGCATGCCCTTGTAAAATCCCACATAGTCTTGTTAATTTAGGATCCAATATCTTGAAGTAGTTAATAACAAGGAATCTCTTATTCAATTGTATATACAACTTAATTATGAACATAGAAGATGCTGGCAAGCTGGAAGCAATATAATTGTGGAATTAATTCCTTTCTTTCTGAGTTTGATTTGTACTTACTTGGTTTTGGTTTAAGTAGAGACATTGTAAGTTGTATCTAGTTTCTCTTAATCAATTATCTTGTGGAATGACCTTTTATATATTTTAAAAAAAGTTTGCATAATTGGTATTACATTATCAGAGTTGATATATGCATGATTTCATTCAATTTAAAAATATTTTAGATAGTATTTGAATTGATGAATTTAGATTTAAATTCAAAGATAATAATAAAGGGAGGTATAAGAAATGAAAATGTAAAGAGACAAGAGGGTTAACTATGATAGCTATCATTTTAAATAACTATGATATCAGACTCATTTAAAATTATAAAGTAATTATAATAAATGTAGATTTAAATTCATAATTTTATGAATTCAAATAGTAAATATGACTCAAATTCAAATCAAAATGACTATCCATCCAAACACAACAGGTTTGTCCAGTTCACAATTTTTAATACATACGCTTGTTGTGTATAGGAACGACGCTCTAGATATGAGAAGGCAAATCATGACACTTTCTCAACTTAAATACTCTCGCTCTTAAAACATATAATAAAGGAAAAATTGCATTGAAATCCCACATAAATAAATTAATTATCATAAGGTCTATTAACAATTAAAGTAATTAAGGCCACTGACAATACCTTGTGTAAGACCCATATGTAATTTTTTCTATGATAAATTAGTTGACTATTTTTCAGCTAACACCCAACTTTATATATTTATTTTTATTTAATAAGGTGTTTTACTTAAAAATAAGTATAAAATGATTTATTTATCACAAGTATTGTTGGAAATCATGCATTTATTACATATTAAAATACTAAAATTAATTTATATTTTTGAATATCCAATGCCTAAAAAATTTCTTCTGTTTTTTAATGGATGAAGTAATTTTTAAATTAAAATGACACAAAATTGATTGGACCAAGATTCATAAAGATGTCCTTGGTTTGTCCAATTCACCATTCATAATGACGCTCGTGATATGTGAATATAAGGCAAACAACCACGCTTTAGAACCTTGTTAAATTCTTAAAATGACACAAAAATGATTGAACCAAAATAAACCCTCTTTATTTGGTATTCCCTCCAATTTTATTTATAAAACAAAAAGAAATAATTTTTTATCCTATTCATAAAACATGTCATTCATTTTTTATTATAATTTTTTTACCCTACATTAAATGCTGATAAAAGAAAGTATATTATTAAAGAATGTATATTTAATGAGAGTAAAGTTAAAAATTTATTAAATTTTTAGATAAAATTCATGAGTTATAATGGTTTCCCTAATTTTCACAATATGTTGGAAGCAAATATAACGCACACAATGGCAACTTTAAAAAAACCAAAAGCTAACAAGAAAATACCTAAGGGTCAATTATATATATATAAGGCATCAGTAACATCCAAACTTATTACATTTATGTTTGAATGCATAAGAAATAAAATCAAATTATCACTTATCTTTTGCTTGAGTTTTGAGAGTGCGAACCATACTTAAGAGTAGTTTTCATTGTATTTTGAAGGAAACTCATCATCAATTTAATTTGAATATGAGAATTGGAATAGATGGGGGGTGAATGAATTAAAAAAAAGTATTAATCCGTTTTCAAATATAAAAAACACTACCTCAAGTTTCTTAATTTTTTATTATAAGCAAAATACAAATTTCAAGAAATATTAATTACATTTTTCTAAACCATTCCTCAGAAAATTGATAGCATCATTAAATTAGAGGAAAAAAGTAAGAATAATAAAACTTTTAGTTCATTAAGTTTGTCCCAATTATCAATTTAGTTTCTTAAGTTAATTTTTATTGATTTATTCGCTTAAGTTTACCTCAGTTGTCAATTTGATCTTTATTATTTAAAGAGAGTATAACATTATTAAAATCTATTGACAAAGAGTAACCTTCATGTAGATTAATGAAAGGAAATATAATTATTTATGTAAGAATAAAACAAACTCTAAAATTTTAAAAAATAAAACAACAAAATGCAACATAAGGGATTATATGGATTAAAATTAAAGTGACGTGACAGTTAATTTGTGTTTTAAAACTTAAATAATAATATGATAATTTAAAAAAATGTAAGGTACTAAATTGATAAAAAAAATAATCTTGAGCAATTAAATTGATAATTAAGCCAAACATGAAGAACTGAAATTAAAGTTCCATTATCTCAAAAAAGTAAATATTAATTACAAGTGCATTTTAATTAAAATATAGTTTAATTTCAAACATAATTATATGATTGATTAATTTTTTAAATGAGTTGGTTGAAATTTTCCTATATTAAAAAATGGTAGCAGTATTGTGTGCATGTTGAAGATATCATACACAACTTTTTTCTTATTTTCTATTCTTCTGCTCTTTAGACCAGGAAGAGACGGTTAGCTAGTACTTTAGAAGTTAGTGTATTTCCCAGTTCCGACCCAGTCAGAGTATTTAAGTTTGCCCTTCGTGATTAGAATTAACGTTAATTGAATCACCAAAGATTTCTGCAACCTTGAGGGAGGGAATCAAAGATATATTGAAATCTACGTCAATATATATCATGTGCATGGTAAGGCTAGTAATGAGACAATCATTAACTTTTAACCCAAGAAACTCATTGATATTTGTAACAATATCTAATCTCATAACACTACGAAATCTTAATGGTCAAATCATTTTCCAAGCAAATAGCTTTTTTTATATTACCTTAATCCCAAATTATAAAAGACTGTTAAAAAATATTTAATATTCTAAAATATAAGACATTTTAAAAATATTAAGATAATTTGATTAAATATAAAATACTTTAAGAAAGATTTGATATCGTAAAATATAATGCACTTTAAGATAATTTCGTTAACTATAAGATACTTTTAAGAGAAATTTTTTATTTTAAAATATAAGACATTTTGAAAAATTAAAGTAATTTTATTAAATAGTTTCATTATAATATTAGAATTTCTCTCTCTATTTAATTTTTGACTCTCTCTCTTTTTAATATATTAAATATAAGATATTTCTAAAATTTTATATATTTATTTTAAAAAAATAAAATTATTAAATATACTTAATAAAATTTATTAATATATGAAATTTTATTTAAAAGTATATTATAATTACGAACGAAAAGAGTATTATTTTCAGGATTTAAAATCTTAAATGTCATTTTCATATTTTATATATATATATATATATATATATTCATCTGCCAAGAACCTCGGTCATCGCATGCGTAAATGCCTGGGAATTAATGTCCTTTATAATTCCCGATTCGTCCATGTCTTGGTCAACTATTGTAGAATTCTCCTTGAGGTGGACATTGCACATTGCTTTTGTCTTATTTTACCCTTATGGTTCCACCACTCCATCTCTTCATACATTGGAACCAAACAACCAAACTTATTAAATTAGTGATTTGTTAATGTT